TTTTATTGTGCCCTTCACAACGAATTTAGGTGAAATAGAGGTCGAGTTCACGAGGAAACTTCCTCAGTCTCGGAGACCTTCCATGTAAAATAAGCACATTTATAAACTGGATTAATCAATGAACTCCGTCATTGCCCCTATTCTGTACCATGTATGTCTATATATATATATATATATATATATATATATATATATCAAGCCATATCGCCCACTGAGCGTCATTCAAATGGTTGAAGTTGCTTCTGGAAAACAAATTGATATTTTCCTCTTCCTAAACACTTGAATCACTAACGGTCGCAATTAAAAGTAAGGAAAACTATTTGCGTTACGCCCACATCGCTGTGCACTCACACGCACTATCTTGTGTGGTACCTGAAAAATTATTGGTTAATTCAATTCCAACAGTCTTTATATAGAATCCATTTGAGTAGAAACGCAAATATACCCAAAAAACCCTGTAATTCATAAAAGGGCAAAGGCTGAGACTTCTCAAATTGGTTTTTTTGTTTTCATTTTGTTTTCTTTTGATTAGTTTTTTTTTCAATGTGTATTATTTTCTAATCAGGTCAATTCTTAGATTAGTCAACTGAAATAATTTCACGATCTTCTTTCGGGTTAGTTGTGAGCAATGCCAACTGTTGAAAAACATTGTGGTGGTATATTTCGAGGTATACGTGACGTGCATTTATTTGCATACGTTGAATAACTTTGACCTCAGTGTGAACTTGAAAGCACCTGAAATACGGTGTCTCCTGTATTCTTGCAGTGACAAAGGAGTTATTCATTTATCGACCATCTAGAATTGTGCATGCATCATGAAAAAAAAAAAAAAAAAAGCAGTCAGCCTCGTTTTTCTTTTTTTCTCTCCCACTCCAAGCTATCTTTTCTCCTTCTAAGTTAATTTTTACCTTTCTTGCTCTATCAGTCTTTTTTGGACATCTTTAAAACATTTCTATACTACATAGCTCTTTCAGAATTAAAGATTCAGATGATACTTACAGAATGGCTGCTGTGCTTCTAAAATACACTTTGTCGTAGTCGAAGTAACATTGGAGATTAATGGTTAAACCATCAGACATATTTGATAACATTTTAGAGCAAGGGCCTTAAACTTGATCAACAAATTACAAGTTTGTTTTACTTCGTGCGATACTTTTTTTTTTTGTCAGATTAAATTTTATTCACAAGTTGTTGTTATATACAGTGATTGTTAATTTGATTGAAGATGATTAAATGATTTAGCTACGGTGATTGGATACTGGTTTGTACAGGATACAATATTCAGTGAATCGTCATAAAACCCACGTGTAACTCGATCTCCATAAGTACAGGAGTGTGTGTCCAAAACGTGTGGTACAGATTATCTGGGAAGTTCTGAGCTGATTTATTTAAAACCTCAACGGATACGCGATGTTAGTGAACTCGTCGATTTGGACAGCACCCAACCTAAAATAAACCCATTTTACTGACCCGAATTACCTACGTGTCAAAAAACAATTGGCATCTGTCCATCACAGAACCTTCTTCAGAAAATTTTGCGAAGACAAAGTCCTCTTTGATACAGGAACCGCATAGCTCTCCAATGCTACTGTTCTCGTTTTGTCGCTCTTGTCCCCAAATTTTTCTTTCTCGGTTTTTTTTAGCCCCATGAGCCGGTGTATGCCTGAGCTTCGGTCTATATACGAACTCTTAACCAAAAAGTGGACCACGTTTTAAAGTCAATTCACGGTATAAAGTCAATATAACCCTAATCATGGATATGCCACGTACGTGAATGCGGAGGGAAAAGGTTTGATAAGGAGCACATTGTCCGTTGGACTTCGAATTCTAGTTTGATCAATTGTTTCCGATATTAATTCACAATGTCTTTGTAGAGCATTTACAGATGTGGAATTTTACGCGTAACTAAAAAGGATTAAAATATCATGCTACACTTTTTTTTTTTTAGCTTTTTGGAAATAACAATAGTCTCAAAGAGACAACGTCCGGTGTAGATAGCTGTAGGAAAAAAAAACAAAAAAAACAAAAAACAAAAAAGAAAAAAAATAGCGGAACAGACGGTTTGATTTAACAACGCGGTTGATAATGAAATTTGAGGTCGATATTTCGACTTGCAAAAATATTGCCACAAAAACATTACGTTGGTCTGGAGTCTGGAAGAAAACAAGACCTTTTTAAGCAAGCCTATTTGCTTTTGCGGTCGTTTTTCTGTAGCATGATCTGAAAGGTGAATCTGCTCATCCGGACCTGAAACTCAATCACCTGAACGTAATTGTTATATTAAATTAAATGTGATGTTGAATGCTGCACTCGCACGTACGGCATTACCTAACTTTAACCCTTTGCTGCTCCCAGAGATAATTAGCCTGTAACTTCTCCTAATGACAGCCATGCATTGTCCAACAAACAGGTAATGAGAATACTAAAACTTATCAGGTAAAAGTTGTTATCTTGATCTAACACCAAATTCTCATAACTAACTAACAAAGAAATGTGTAACAGCTAGAGGGGAGAATTAACAATCAGATCTTGGAAGTTAAAGAGTTAGTACACTTATAAGCTGAAAAACTGCTTGACCCTTACTTCGATGAGTCATGCAAAACACCCCATGACCCAGTGGGTTAGTGTAACAAACCTGCGATGTCTCTAATTGCTTGTCCTATTTCAGAAGACTCTGGAAAGATCCTAACACCTAATGCAACTCGCAGCCGGCTCGTGACAAAGCATTTTTTTCAAAGATTTTCAATATAGATATATTACTCCTAGAATTACAAATGACCTTTCTGAGGGGTTTGTTTTGATGTTCGGGCCGTGATCAAGGCAATAGTTTTACACGCAATGAAACATTTCCGTATTTTTTCTCTCGGTTTCCCATTGATCTAGAGAAACTCTTAGCTCCGGTTCGGTGAGTGATCAAGAATCTCTCGAAGCACTTCTTGTGTTCTCGTTTAGTGGATAAATTCATGATCATTATACCTATCGCACCGCTAGAAACAGCGAATTTGAACACGACGAGCACGGTTACGGCATGCGACAAAGTTAAAGTTTTACTTTGTACACCTCGTACACAATTTTTTGCATAATCCTAAATCAAAGCTGTAAATAAAATAGCTGGTAGCCTCTTATCCTCAGTTATTGCAAAAATTTAATTTAAGCGTTATAACTGCTTAAAGCAGAGAGCGAGAAGTTTGATATTGCTTGATATTGTCGTTTGCTGGTCACGTCATGTGCAACCTCTGATATTGTGCGGTACGGTATTTTAAAGGCCAACATGTTCACCCATCCCTACACGCGGTTTACGTCAATCCGCTAGGTTTAGGTTTAATACAGGTGTCGATAAATCGCTAAGGCTTAACCTTTAAGCCAGCGTCAATATTGCCGAGCACTCGCTTCACACTTGACTGTTTTGATCTTCTTTCTTCTCGCGTAGATTCTTATATATCTGCTACTGGTGGACTCGGTTATTCAATATTCAAGGTGCATTTGATGGTAAAATACAGTCGGAGACTTTAAAGGTGCATTTTGCTCTTTGTAGTTTGTGATTCAACATCTCGTGAAAGCTTTTACAAGTTTATTTCGGGTTGCTATTGTGTTGTAACAATGATCATGCCGACTATGATGGCTAAAAATTATTAAAAAAAAAAAAAGAAGAAACTGTAGCTCAAAAGGCACATGCAAAAATACCGAGAACGGGCAAACGCTTGAACACTGGCTTTCGCGAGAACTGTAGCTGTTATGAGTAAGCAGGGATTAGAGGGGAGGAATTGCGTCGAAAAGACGAGACAAGCTTCAATCAGGTTTTATGACGAAAAAGTAGGATTACTATATTTAATACGCGACTTGGGTAATATTGGGGTCAGAATGAGTGCCGTGCTGGCGGAAACGGTACCAGATCGCTCAAGGGGCATGTTGCTTCGCGCAACCTCTTATCTTTGTTGTTGTTGTAGGAGGTGCTGAGTCCAGAAGCTTCGGGAATATAAACTCATGAGAACACAAATTGTACAATATATCCTCTTGACCAAAATTATTAACAAAATGCAAGGAAAAATAATCAAGAAATATCTCTTTATTCAATAAAGTGCTAAAACAGACCGATCAGAAGCAAAAACGAACGCATCTCTTGCGTTTAAGAGACACGGGCTATAATATATTTACCGTCATTGATGACATAACTTCATGGCCATAAAATTGCCTTAAAATTCCGAAAGTTGAAAAATTTAAAGACAAAACCTTCGATCGAACAATATCTTTAAGACCTATGGCCAAAAAAAGTTTACCAGTCCGAATAATAGCTGAAATCTCGTAAAGCCTCACTTGAAGTCAGCAAGCTCTGGTTACATTTTCCGGCCGTAGTAGTCCTTAGGCCTTTGAGAATTTCATTTTTTTGTAACTCCAGCGCTAATTCCTTCGCTTTTAGTCTTAAATTTCAATTATTCGTGGAAAGATTTCCGTATAACCCCATACCAACCAAAACCAAAGCCGTAGTTCCAAAGGAAATCTATTGTTTTTCCTCTGCTTTCCTTTATCCAAGAATTGAGTGCATAATCAAGTATGGGGTTATACGGAATTCTTGCCCAAAAGAGGTAACAATTACGGAGTTCGGCACGAACGCATGAATTGAAAGTAAAAGATTTTCCTATAAAATTATTTACCTTTCGGGATGTCTAAAGTTATTTTCACCTTCCCACACAGATCAAAGATACCCTCAGCCCATCATGGACAGAAAAAAGATTTGTAAACACACAACTTGAAGAGAATTTGTAAGGCGTTTTTGGGCATCTCAAGCCACAACAACAGAAATTGAGCTAACAACATTCCTCTTTAGTGACCTAGCCTGGCATTGGCTCGGCATATCCCAGCATTCATTTGGACGCATATTTGCAAAGTTGCGTATTATATTTGATTACGTAACCTTCATTACCCACCCCTCCCTCACCAACGTCTATCGACTTGACGAACTCGTTGATCAGCGGTATTTCACTTACGTGAGTTAGCAGAAAGTCTTCAGGTGTTGTATAAACGCTTCGAAATTACATCAGGATAGACCTGCAAGGGAACACTTCTATCAGTATGAATATGCGGTGATGGACAGACGTTTGTTTGAAATCGTTATTATCGCAGGTTGTGGAGGCGCCACTCGATTTTTTCTTCACAGGTACCGGTAGCAACGCAGAATGTCTGCTACCAGCACATTTGCTCCTCTGATCCTCAAACGGTCAAGAATTTTTCCCTCTTTCGCGTGTACCCGCTCACGACTGAATGTATGCTGGAAGTGTTCTTACAGGACAAATGCCTGGAATTTTAAGCTCGAAAATCGAACTTTCAGCAGCTTGGAAAGACGAGAAAAACTTAACAGATATCCATGCAGAGTGTTGCCGGGCTCTTTACGGAATTTTGCCAGCGAAGAACATGCTGATAAAGGAACGGTAATTGAGCCAGAGAACAAAAAGAAAAGACAACTGAAGAGTGATGATCTACTCCGTATTCTGTCATTGGCTAAACCAGAATATAAGAGCCTTGCAGGTAAACTTGAATTGTTTTTGTTTTTTTCTTCTTCAACCTTAGCTTTTCACTCCTATAGAAGAGACTAGTGTCTATTTCTTTTTACAATGTCACCCCTGAATCACACATTAAGGTCATGTGAGTAAAGGAAATTATTTCTGACTAAAAAAAGCTCTTAAGTGTCACTAACATTCTCCTTGTCAGCACCTCAGGAAATCTAGAGAAAACTGTATGGAGAATACGCACACTGGCATGCTGTTGTTTTGTTTTGTTTTAACGACTTTACGGGGTGTGAATAGACCCGGAAGGGTTAGTGCAAACGGAACACAAGGTCCATGCGAGGCACCACCCCTCCCCCTAATTCACCCTGGATAGACACTGCACAAAGATAGACCCCAACACTGGGCACTACATACCCTACACTTTTCTAGGAGTGTGTGGGTTCTTTAACGTCCCACAAATTTAAATCACATCTAAGGGTTTGTGAGACGGGACCTCCATTTATCGTCCCTATCCGAGAAGACTAGAAAGTCTAACCGTTTGCAGATATTATTACAAAGGCAGCACTTTCCACTCAGTTATTTAAAGACCCTGAGTGTTGGTCCGGCCGGATTTGAACTCTCGACCTACCGCACAACAGTCCGGCGCTATACCAATTGAGCTAACCGGGAGGCGGTTAGGGTGTTAAAGGTGAAGATCAATCCCTAGTAGGACTATCCTTGCCAAGATGTTTGTTAGATTCATGACCAATCTATTTCTATACTTGCTGCCAACACAATAATTTTCCCCCAGACCCTACACAATGAAAAAACAGATTTAAAAAGTACAAGTCTTTTTTAAATCACTCTTCCTCTCCCCTCCCCCCTCCCTCAATGATTTTGAAAACAGGGAGGGTGGGTGAAAAAAAATTGCTTAAAGCAATGTGACTGTTATAAGGTTGATTAGAAATGAGCATAAAGTCTAAAAGACTTGTTTTAATGAAAGTCTTGCAACTCTTGAGGAGCTGTCAGCCAAACCCTTTTGTGGAGATACACAAAACTGCATGAGCTGATTCATAGATGGGATGAGATAGCAAATATCATATTCAATTACTATGCTGGCAGTAATTGAAACAAGTTCTTTTCATTTAAGGTAAAAAAAAATATTAAATTCCATGATTTGGAGGGAGATACTTCAATTATGATTTGATCAAAACTCATTATAATAAGTGAAACAAATTGAAGTATGTTGTCCTACAATTATGGACACGTAAGGCTTAAAATTTCAAGCTGATAATTTGATCAGACCATGCACGTATATGCCCATCAATCAGTCAGTCAGTCATTTGGTCAGTCACTTGGACAGTCAATGATCAGTAGGGTGTTTGATCTGTTGTTATCTGTCACTCAATCCTTATTGGGCTCTGACATTTATTTCATAAAATTCCTGATGTGGAAATCCAATCTGAAACTTACAGTAGTTATTAATCTTCTCTTTACAGGAGCCATTGGCCTTTTGTTCATATCTTCAGCTGTGACTATGTCTGTACCATTTTGTATGGGGAAGATCATTGACATTATTTACAGCACAAGCCAGGATACGACACAAATGGTTGAAACATTGTCCTATGTCTGCAAAATTCTCTGTGGGGTGTTTGTTTTGGGTGGGACGGCCAATTTTGGAAGAGTTTACTTGATTCAAGTATCTGGTGAGGAAAAAAAGCTGTATTTTTCTGTCAGTCTTAGTTTATACAGCTTAAAAAGACATCAGTTTTAAAAGTTTCTGTAAAATTCAAGTTAAAAACCATTCCCAAAGTTTTTCTTAATTTAGAAGTGCTGTTTTCCTTGAGTAAAAGTAACACCTTTTTGTATCTATTAAAGAAAAAAGATTCAAATAAGGTCTCAGAAAGTTTTTTGGTATTTTTGCCTTTAGTTCTCTCCATATGCACTTTGCCATTAAATAGTGTTTTAAGAAGGATTATCCTTGTTTATCACAGTGAAAATGTGATAAATGGTATTTACCGTCACTTTCCTTCTAGGCCAGAAAGTTATCAAGCGGCTTCGTGAAAGACTCTTTAAAGCCATATTAAAACAGGAAACAGCCTTTTTTGACAGAACAAGAACTGGAGAACTGATCAATCGCTTGTCAGCAGATACCATCCTTGTAGGGAAGGCTGTGACAGACAATGTGTCTGATGGTTTACGAGCTGTGGCCCAGTCAGTTGCTGGAGTGTCAATGATGGTGAGTTTGATGGTAGTGTTATTCCAGCTACCTGACGCATGCAGTACAGCCCCTGCCATTTGTTTTGGTTTCTTCTTGAACAAGTGGATATTCTAAGATGATTAGTATTCACTTACAATTATATTTGATATTTCATTTACAATGTTTTTAATAAACCCTCCAATCCCTAAGAGTGACCAACATCTTATTTCTCCTTACGATATCTTCCCTGAATGACACAATAAGCTCACAAAAATTAAGGGAATGATCATCAACCAAAGAAACTGTTGATTGTTAAACAAATTCTCCTTTGCAGCAGCTCAGGAAATGTAGTGAGAACAACAGTATGGAGAATATGCATACTGATGTCAGGCTGTAAAGGGTTAAAAAATTGACATCCTCAGGGCCCAACACTAACTTTTCAACTTACTAGCCAAGTGGCTAGTGACATCTTAGATGTTTTTAGATGTTACGACAATTTCAGTCTGTTTACTAGCCAAACTGGCT